ACATTAGATGAGAATAGTCTTTTGGTACCAACTGGCCTCCATCTCCATCTCCTCAGATATCTGATGATCATCATTATCAGACTTCTCACAACAGCTAGTAGTCATTTTTATTTTTACCATTTAAGTAGAAGTGGCAATGTTCTCCCTGTCAATATTCAGGGTGGTCAGAGTTTTCTATTGGCTTCTGCCAATCATCGATTTTAAGATATATCAGGCTCCAGGCCCAAAACATTGTCTCAAAATAAAGAAAAATGGCATAAGTCCATAAAAATCTACAGTAAACTCAGTCCACATGTTCAGCACATTGTCAAAGTCAACTTGAAAAGAAGACTCATAGTGGTCTACATTCCAAATAGTGAACTACTTATTTCAAATTCTGACAAAGTGTCCATTTGAGAGATTATATTAATCTATAATGACTGATAATTATTGTTTCCTGTAATAAGGTGAGGGATAAAGTTAGCATAGTTTACTTAAGACTAGCAGTAAAATTGAAATCTCACTAGTCATCATCACAAAAATTAGCCTTGCAAGTTTTCAATATTACTTGTTTCATCATAACATGGTGGTTTTTTTCAAGTCAAGATGGCAATAGTAATCTTGTAAATACAGTCATATGATGTAATACTTCTTACTTTTGCATGTATTACAATCATAGGCAAAAATACAATTTTGATGCTTTTTATAAGTGATGTCCTGCTAATCTAGCTTATAAAGAAATGTTTTTTTAAGAAAACTTTTATGTTTATATAAAAAAAATTTCACATTCATTTTGTCTTAATGCAGGATCCCTCCCTCAACCATAGTCAAAGTAGTGTTTCTTGGTGACAGGGCAAGGACAAAAATTCCAGCAATTGTTTCTTGAAGGTGTTGTATACACCCCTGAAAAGTCCAAATCTGCTATGTCCGAGTATCAACTCCTATGAAAGTAATGTATCTCAGTTGGAGTTATGAGCAGTTAGAGATGCACAGTTTCAGAGCAACAGTCACATGTTGCAACAGTATCAACTCCTATGAAAGTAATGTATCTCAGTTGGAGTTATGAGCAGTTAGAAATGCACAGTTTCAGAGCAACAGTCACATGCACAAATTGATTTTCTTTGTTTTCAATCCTCATATCAAATTATGCAACCTTCTTCATTGTCTGTTTGTGGTTGAAGACCTAGTTTTTGATCTTCTGACCTGGCAGAAAGCTACTACTATCACTTCTGTTCTCATCAACACTAGGTCTATTTTTGAGTGCTGCCACAATATCTTTGGTCTTGCTTCAACACAGGCTGCCAAAAAGTCCGCTGTGGTCGCAACCACAGTGGCTGCACAGGTTGCAAGTCTAATATCCCAAAACCATGCACATAATCAAGGGGATAATGATGATTGATGATGAAATAGTGAAGAGTAGCAAAGTTCCAGTCAAGGTCAGCAGGGCTTGCAGCTATCTTATGGAGATCTATTGGGCTCTGTTCTGAAAAAACTCAAGTAGGGGACCCATCAGGTTGCGCAACAAGTACCGTCATTAACTATGCTGCTGGTGATGATATGGCCAGCCATAACTTAGTTAACTTCCGTCCAATTTTGAAAATGTAATTGTAATGGTCATATTTCATCATATGCTACATCCTGTACAAGTTCAACAACAAAGTTTTTTTTTTACAACTGATTCCTGCCACAATTTTCATTACACTTTATTAGATTAACTATTATACTGTTTAAGTAAACATTGGAAGATTATGGTTTCTTTTTTGGGAACTTATTCTACCTTTGAACTTCCCATGTAGAACAACATCAGGTTTGAAGTATAACATTTCTTTCTATACAAATCAAATAATTACTTGAAACAGCAAACGTTAGCAAGTGTGATTCCATTTTTTTTTTCTCTTCAATTTTAGATTTGGAATGAGTTTTTCAGTGAAGTTTGGTTCACTACTTGGATTGTGCTACTACTGCAATACAAGAATTTGGTCTACTACAATTGCATTAACTTATGATTGACTTTATGTATCATCATTAATCTCAATCCAAATTACTTAATATTTATATCAACACTGCTGTCATAGCTCATTAAGGGTGACTGAAATTGGCAGCAATATTTGAAGTTTCATACAGATCAGTATGATGTTGACTCACTCTCAGGTACCAATACAGTTGGCCATTTCACAAATATGGACAGGGTAGGCCATTATTAATAACACTGTTGATGATATGGGCTCAAATCAACAAACAAACTTCAGGTTCCCAACTGAATCAACAGTTCATAGAAGTAACTAGACAGAGTCAGCATGCTTCACAAGGGTTGCCTTTATGCCACAAAAAATTCATTCTTGAATTAAGTTAAGAACAAGCAGAATGCTCAAACATTTGGGTGAATGTCTTACACCCACACAAAATCATGTTTAACACTGCAGTCAGACAAGAGCAGTGTAGGCACATGAGGGATGACCAGGACAACATTCAATTTCAATGAAGAACGACTTGCATATAGCAGTGGCATATTGGTTGAAGAAGAAACGGTATTAGTTGCCACAGGCATTTGTATGCTATAACATGACACTATGAAAGTCAGACAACTATTAGTGGCATGTCTGCCATACTCAGATAGTTAACAGCTTCCTGGAATAAGATGGTATCGTGCACGTGGCTTGGCCAGTGCATTCATTAGACCTGATCCAGTTGAGCATGTGTGGGATATTCTGTGGTGACATTTTGCATCATGTAATTCACCTCCAAGCAATATTAATGAAATGGAAGTAACTCTGATGGAGGATTGGTCCATATTATCCCAACAACTGACTCATTCATTCCAAGCATGCCATACTGACATATGACTTGCAGTAGTACCCAAGGTGGTCATGTTGTATTTTACAAATCTTGTCTCAATTTATTGGGCTATAAAGCCTGAAAAAAAAAAAGCATATCAGATCACATGAGTAGTCACCTGACATTTTGCATAACAATGAATTCTGGGAATGCCACTGACATTGTTTAATAACACTAGTTGTGTCTTGTCATTGGTTGAATACATATAACTGATTATCACTGAATTGCATTGAATGGTTGAAATACTTCTACCCTCATAAAAAGATGTAATCCTTAGCTCTTTATCGAAGTTGGTTGTAATACTTCTTATAGTGAGTTAAAAGGCCATATGTCTGGGAATCAACAGAGATTTCCAAAAGGATCCTAACAGAGGATCAGGGGAGCAAAGCCCTCAAAGTTACTGGGCTTTAAGCATGTTTTATTAACAGAAATAAAATAAATATTTTTTAAATAAAGGAAACTACTTAATTTTCCTTAATTATATAAAATTACTCTCCTAAGAATAATTCCAAAGGTATCGTTCATTACACATTCAAAAATACGACTAGAAACTTCATCTTAGAATATCTCTCTCGCACACACACACACACACACACACACATATATATAATTGTAACTTTGCATTTCCCTGGACTAATTCTATCTGGGAAATGAACACTGTTAAAATAATTAATGTCTTTATGACTTCACAGTAAATAAAACTTGGACTGTCTTGGCTTGCTAATAAACAGAACTTTGTTTGATATAACTAAAAGCTTCAGATACAAGTCATGGTACACAGCCAAGCTGCTGCTATTTACAATGTTTCAAAGTTGATGATTACAAGAAAGAAGTGAAACCAAGGAAAGAAAATTACTACAAAACACAATAGAGTAAAGAACACCAGTAATAAAATACAGCATCATGATAAATAAGAACACATCCTTCCTATAACAAGTTTCATACAAAAGAGCTTCTGGATTATCTGTTTCTTTTTCAATATACATCTTTTTAAACCTGCATGTCTTCCACATAAGATGATAATACCAAATACTGTATTCATTAACTATAATTTTTTACCTACATATAGATATGGAGCAGAATCACAAATTGTTAATTAAAAACAATACTCTGGGATCATCAACTGTAATACTTAACAAAAGTTACAATTATCAAGGATCTTTTAGATACAAAGACAAGGAAGACAAAATTTTGTATTTATTTTATTGTAAACAGCCTTAGCAACTGCAGCAAGGAACACTAACTTTACAAGAATTTATATAATATCTGACTTATTGAATGTGTTAAAATTATTTCACACCAAAACCCATCTGGTCATGAACAGAAAAGTAAAAAGACATGATTTTATGAAACTACTGAATTAAACATAAACCAAAGAGAACAAAAAAAAAATAAGATATTGATCACTGCAACATAATTACTGTGTGCAGAAAAAAACGTATAGGAGCATTTCAATCCTTATACAATGAAAGATAATCCAATTGTATACCTTTGGGACTTGAGTTAATCACAGTTCAGAAGCTTCCAACTTTTGTATAATAATTCAAATAATTTTTGAAAGATGACAAATAACTTTAAAATGAATACTCTATGAGAAAATAAAAATGGCTTTGTTTCAAGATGTTTTACAACCATATGATGTCTTAGTCTTCAAATCTTATTGAATGAACTTCAGTGCTAATACTGCCACCTCGATAACTTCCTCGTTTTTTTTTTGTCTTCTCATGCCGAAAATCCTTGCCTCTCACATTCTTTAACACATTGTTTGCCTTCTCTCCCCATGATCCCCGAGCTCCTTTCTGTAATAATCAGTAAAACTTATCAATATCACAAAAATTACTACAGAACTGTACTCCAAACTAGTATAATGGCTAAAACATTTGTGTAAATAAAATATTAGTAACAAACTGAAAAACATTTTTTAAAATTAAAATATGAAGTGCATTTATAGAACGTTGTGAGAATTCAAAAGTTTAATTTAGCGTGATCACACAGCATTAAAACGAGGGTCAAAATGAACTTTTATATGTTAAAACTGGAAGGCTTAGATTAACATTTTCCATTGAAGAGTATCAGAACTGAACTGAATTTTTTATTGGTCTTCTATCGCTAAGTGATGTAAAATTGACATATCAGTTAAGTTTCTTTATAATTGTTACCTCCCACTGACCAATCAACAAAATACTTTTTTTTTGTTATACAGCCAAGAAAACATTTATATGACATTATATAAACAAAAGGTGAGAACAGTTTACTAAAATAACAACACATGATTAGGTCTCACACACTTTTATAAAAGTAAAAAAATGGAATCAATTTCTTTTCAACTCTCCAAACACAGTATTTAATGCAATATACACACACATTGAAATTTAGTCACACAAATCATCTTTTTTTTTTAAAGAAACTATGAAATTAAAAGTTTACTAATTATACCTGACTCTTCAAAACACACACATAATTTTCTAAACACTTGTGGAACTTCAAAGTAACGTCTTGATATTTATTTTTAAAATTTTCTTCAGCCTAATATATCTCTCCACACTTAGATACAGAAAATTGAAGAAGCATAGTTTAGAATGGATATTCTAACTGCTTCAGAAAATACAGGGTGGATGCGAGACCGAACAGCATGAAACTTGGCAACATTACACAACACAACTAAGAGATTTAAAGAACTACGAATGACATGTTCAATATGTAGCCCATGCTGTAACACGTAGCACAACACTGTGAGCTGTGTCCCACGAACTTCCTTAAGTATTGTCCAAGTTATTGCAATCTTAAGCTCCTGTATAGGGCAAGGGTTTCTTTTCAATAACCCTATAGGGAAAAAAAGTCAGAAGGACTCCAATCAAGAAACAATGGAGGCTTAATTCATCCACATCTGAAAGACCTTTACATAAAAGGTTTCTAGCAGCAAGCACAGGATGATGTTTGTTACTGTGCTGTCACCTAACACACTTTAATCTCCAAAAAGTGTAGCTAAATATTGCCAAGCTTCTTACTATTAACACTTTATACCACAGACTTACTCCAAATACAAATGTAAGATGTACAAAAAACACCACACACATATAATACATAAGAGAAAGGGGGAGAAAAAAAAACTTGTGAAGATAAATGTAAAACCAGCTAAACATATAAAATTTGTCAAACGGTTTACTATGGTTATTATTATAGATTCAAAACTGTAGAAGCTGCTTATATTGCTTCACTAGCAGTACAAATCAACACTAACCTTGGCTTCAAAAGAATTATCCTTGAACTTTGTATGAACTTGTACATTCTCAGGGTTTACTCTGCGGAAGGGTGTACTTTTCTGAGAGAGAGTAAAAACAAATGTTATAATGTGCAAAATTACACCTTATTCCAACTCTTTCACTTAAAGATGTAATAATCTTACAATAACTTATATTAAGAAATAACAAAAAAGGAAAAGAACTACTTCAAGATATTATTGATAGTCCAAGTGAAAAACTGATATTAAAGGGGTACATACTACATACTTTACTAAAGAATTGAAGCCTTCCAACTAGTAAATGTGATAAAATTTATGCTTGTAACTCCCAATACACTACCACAAATTTTGCTTTAAAATATAAATCATTTACTGCTGTTATTAACTGTGAAATTTCCCAAGTCATAACTCTAAATATATAGTTGGATGTTTGATACAACAATTTTTCTAAACAATTTGGTTTCAAACTATGTATTTTGAACCAGAATGTGAGAAAGTCCAAACTTAAATACTTTACAAAAGAACAAGTATTTGGCATTTTATTACTGAGTAAGTAGAAGCCACAATCAAACAAACATCAAAAGATCTGGTATTAAAAATAACCAAATTTTGCATGAATTACACTGTTAAATTATGCAAACAAATGAATCAAGAAATGTGCATTTCATACAATGCAGTGGTGTTGCTTTAGTACACGTCTGAAATTTTATACAAATCACAAAATTACATACAGTATTCACAATGTGACAAATATAACACAATTTTCATAAATGTCTGTAGTACTTAAACACGCAGACTATCAAACATATTATTTCTACATGAAGAATGTTAAATCTAAGGAATATTAAAACTTATATTTTGATACAAATATTGCAATATATCAAGCGTATAAAATATTGACGTTCCCTTGTGTTGATATTCAGTACAAGATTACCCAGTTGTCATTTCTATTGCTGTTGAACTATAGTTATACAACAACTATCATTACCTTATTTTAAAAACAAAAACTAATGCACTGGTAGTAAAAAAATTATGCTGTATTAATGTTTCAAAAAAAAAAAAACATTTAGCTTCAGTGATTTTATAAATTTATCTTTTCGATTTATACAAACTTATACTTTTATAAATTTGCTTGACACTTACAAAATCATTCTGTGTCTGACCACCAGGGGTGTAGTCATTATTTCCGAGTATCGGTGAAATCTGCAAAAAAAAAACTTTTTGTTTAAAGTCTACAAAGCAAAAACTACATAAATGAGAATTACAAATTTACAGGATTTTTTAAGTGGTAACTACTACAAAAACATTAATGTTTTAAGTTCAGACTGTCAACCTTGAAGACCTGCCAAAAATGAAATATTGGCATCTTATGTTTGTTACAATAACTTACCTCTTAGAACAAATGGCATAACAAAGAAGGTCACACTACATATATTCTACGCTGCATGTGTTACAATTACAAAAAGCTGAGAGCACAAAAAAATACTCAACCTAATATCTGATACATTAATTTTTGAGTAAACTTCTATAAAACTTACATCTTTATAAACATGAAATAACAGTTGAATTTATAAAATCCAAATTAAAGTAACTTGTACTAAATTATAGTCGAGAACTACATGATATTAATACTATGATACAGTAAATCTTACATTAATTTTTCTTCAAATAGTCCATTTTCTTGAGCAACTGTTTACTCACTACATCTGCTTCTTTCAATGATTAACTACTTGGTGAGTTTTGTATCAACCTAGCAGAGAAGTGTCCAAGTTTAAAATTTACATATTCAAAGTTTTTACAAAAATCAGTTTGGAGAAGCTTACCTCTTTCTCTCCTTCATTATTTGATGCCTGGAATGTGTTGGTTTCATTTATAGCTTCAACAGAAGTTGCTAGCCTTGGTTTCTTTCCTACAGAAGAAGTATTACTAGTCCAAGAAGCTTTTCTTTTTTGGCCAACCAAAGATTCATTATTATTACTATTATCAGACTCTTTGGAACTTGACTCTTGTTTTTGCATTCCATTTGCATTTTGCTGTATTAAATGCTTGCTTGGAGAATTTCTAGCTTTATTTTCCTCTTTATTTTTAGATAACATCTTTGTTTTATCGGAGCTAGGTTTGTTTTTGGCATTCTCTACTTCCATTTCACTATCTGAAGATTCAGAACTTGAACTGGCTGTTTTTCTTACAATCTGTTTAGTTGGCTGAGCTCTTACATCAGGAGCAGCTTTAATAATTTTTTTTTGTCCTTCTTCTTCTTCAGATGATGATGATGATGAAGATTCACTCTTCTCTTTCACTTCATGTGTAACAGATGTTCCCTTTCTTTTATCTGTCAAATTCACAGATTTTTTATTTTTATTAGTGCTTTTTTTATCAGACTCTGAGGAAGAATCTGATGAGCTTTCTTCACTTGATTTTTGTTTCTTAATCGCGCTTGTACTTTGATTCACAACATGTGCCTGTATTGGTTCTTTGGATGTCTTCTTAGCATAACCTAATCCAATTTTTTTTTGTTTTTCATCTTCAGATTCAGAAGATGAATCTGAGGAGCTTGAAGACATTTTTGATTTATTTAAAGGTGTGGATACTGTTTTGTTCACCTCAATGTGATCAGTTGGCTTCTTTGTTTTTTCATCTTCTGAATCAGATGACGAATCCGATGATTCATCTTTTTTTGATGAAACAGATTTTGGAGTGATACAACCTTGTTTACCAGCTTTTTGTGTTGAAACTGAAGGTTTGAGTGATTGAATACCACCCCTGTCTTTTTCTGATTCTGAAGATGAATCACTTGAGCTAGAATCATTTCTTTGTGTTTTAGAAGCTGATTTTGATGGAATATCACCCTGTTTTGGTGTTGTGGATTGTGAAAGAGATTTCAATCCTCCTTGAACAGATGCTGATTTAGTCGAATTTGCTCCATTTCTGGATTCATCTGAACTTGATTCACTTGAGCTGGATGAATCTTTCTTTAAAACAACAGATTGTTTTGTTTCTACTTTATTTTGAATTGGTTTTGGTACAGAAGCTAAGGATGGCTTATTACCTAGTTCTTCATCAGAACTGGATGTTGATGATTCAGAGCTATCATCTTTCTTTAATTCTGTTCCAGATTTATTTTTGTCTAACTTAAGTGCAGAAACTGAAGATACATTTTTCTTGGAAGCCTTTGCTTTATCAATCTCAGACACTGAGCTGAGAGGTTCATTCTTTCTTCCCACTTTCATTGTGCTGTTATTTTTTGCTTGAGGTGCAATTTTGCTAGAGACATTTTTGATATTAGATTTTTCATCCTCCTCGGATTCTGAACTTGATGCATCAGAATCACTATCTTTCTTGAAATTCTGTGGGGCTTTCAACTGAGATGATATTTTGATAGAAACATTTTTCTTATCAGCAGGAGCTTTTTCATCTTCAGATTCTGAACTTGATGTATCGCTACTGCTATCCTTCTTCTCATTCTGTGGAGTTTTTACTTGTGGTGGTATTTTGCTAGAAACATTTTTCTTACCAGCGGGAGCTTTTTCATCTTCATCTTCTGAACTTGATGTATCACTACTGCTATCCTTCTTCAGATTCTGTGGGGTTTTTAATTGTGATAATGTATTTGTTGTTTTCTGCATGCAAAATACCACCTCAAGTAAAATCACCTAACTAGAAACATTTTTCTTATCAGCAGGAGCTTTTTCATCTTCAGATTCTGAATCCGAGCTTGATGTATCACTCCTGCTATCTTTTTTCAGATTCTGTGGGGTTTTTATTTGCGACAAACTATTTGTTTTCTGTGTACTAGGTGATTTTACTTGAGGTTGTGCTGTGTTAGAAGTATTTTTCTTAGTAGGAACCTTTTCCTCTTCAGACTCTGATTCAGAACTTGTTGTATCAGAATCATTAGTTTTTTAATGACTTTTGTACTCTGGACTAAAGGTTCTTTTTGTAATGTTTCCAGTTGAGTTGACTGAGATTTAGTCTTCTTTTCAGAATCAGAACTAGAGCTTGAACTAGAACTACTAATACTGTGGTTTTGTCTTATAACTGTCTTAGACTTAACTGTAGTTGTCTGGGAGGAAGTAGGAGTTTTATTTGTATCACTTTCTGACTCGGACGATGAACTGTCAGGTGGCTTTGTCGCTATAGCTTTAATTTGAGACGTTTGTTTTTCCTTAGGCAATTTATTTTCATTTACAATTTTCTTATTTGAGTTTTCAATTGTTTCTTCTTCACTTTCAGAAGAACTAGATGAAGAAGATGATTTAGTTTTTGAACTGGCCACAACCTTTTTTTGTTGCGGTTCATTCTTGCTAACCGGTGCATCATCATCACTTGAATCATCTATCAAAAAGTAAATAGCATTATGTTAACTTATGGTTTTTAAATATAATCATTCTTGAGACTCAAAAAACTGTTTTATGTAAATCTAAAACTGGTAACTAATTCAAGTAACATACTACAGTATAATGATAAATATAACATAAGACTAAAAAACTCTGATACACACTACTATCAATAGCTGAATTAGCATGCACTTAGAAACATTAACTGAGGTATTTCATCACTGTAACCTGAATAATTATTTACAAAATGAAGAAAAACTTTTTATTCAATGTTACATAAACAGTGAATTTTGCATCTAAACATATTTAGATTTGTGAATGTATAAAATGAGATTTACCTTCAAAACAATGACATACAGATACATTTTAAAACAAATATTTTGATGGAGCACAATGAGTAGAAGAAATCATATAAAGAAGCTGAACAAACTGAGCAGTTTCTAACTACACTAACATCCTGTAATAATGAAAAACTCATCGTATTAAATAGTACTATGTGATAATGACTGATATTTTAATGCAGTATCCTGTAAATAAATATGTGAAAAAATATGACCCGACACTTAAAATTTGTTATTGTGATGCAGTGCTGTAAGTATCCACTTGCCCATGACAAGTGAAATTTATAAACTGAGGTTAGGGTCTTTTTTTTTCCCAATAAATGGTACTTTTACGTAAATTTACGTCAAGTTTCACTCCATGCCGTATGTCGGCCTAAGACCCAGAACAGTTACTGTTTGGCATGTAAAAAAAAAGAACAACACACACACACACACACATTCAAATCATATTTAGAATTCAGTTATTTCTAAAACTGAGAAAAATAAGTGGGGAAAAATATTGAGCACAGTATTTGTTCAGTTCAAGTCATTTGTTTCTATGACCATGTAATACCATTACATTCAAAATAATTCTTGGTTAGTTATATTTAAATCTGTCTAGGGTGTGATTATTTTTTTAAAGCATACTTTCAAGTTTTTTATAACTAGAAAAAATAGTTTCTTTATGGAAAAAAAAAAGATTTTATTTACATTTCCAAAAGTATTGCTACTACAGGTTAAAAAAAAGAAGGCTACCTGAACTTGATTCTTGTGTTTTTGGTTTCTTTACTGAAACATCTGTTTTCTGTTCTTCAGAGAATTTACGTTTCACACCTTCAGGTGCAGATCTAGATTAAAAGAAAATTTAACATATGAATACAACATTTTTATGGCAAAACATTTTAAATAATTATTTATTCTAGCAACACACTGACCTATATACTATTAGTTCAATGTGAAGTAAAAAGGAAGATTATTATAAACATATAAAACATGTTTTTAGGTTGATGTTACTAAAACAATTGTAAATTAAATCTATATAGAAACATATGCATATAAAATCAGTTAGGTGAATCACATCTTAATAAAAAAATAAGCTGAAATAATTTGGACCTGTGACAAGTAGTGCCTAAAGATTCTTGTTGATATTCGTATAACCACTTTTGCAACAACAACAAAAAAATTGCTTGTATTCTCTAGCAAAATAATTTAAAATATAAATTACGAATAACAATTTTGTAAAAAAAAATACTAGAAATTACCAAGAAATATGACTTTTCCCATTTGTTAGTCTTAAAAATAATTAAACTCTTTAAAACTTGTTTATAAAGAATAAAACATGCTTATTAACAACCAATTCAAGAGAAAATTTACATTTTTTACATTTTGAATGCCTTTTAAAAACGTATCTATTACATTATTTGAGTCATTGATTTACATTGATTGTAGATCAGAAAGATAGCAAGAAAATTGTTTATGCTCATTTTCGTCATTGAGATACCACCCTTCAAATATGGGACCTCTTAAAAGATTGATTGTGGTCACACTCTATGACCAGAAGGTGCTAGACTGAGAAGTGAATGTAGATAAGAATATATTTAAATCTAAAACATTTATATTTATGCTAATGTGAGAAAAAATATTTAAATTTTATTTCTATTCCAAAATATATGGAGAGCTTTGTTAGCTACTGGAATCTCATAATACAGAAACTGTACTGATAAAATAAAATATGCATTAAACCTCTAAGGTAGGAAGTTTAAGTCACCTTATGGAACATTTGATTGAATTTGTTGGTCTGTCTGGAATAGATCATCAATGTTACATTATTATTTTCAACCAACCTTAGAAATGCTAAGGTTTCCTGACAGCTTTATGAAAAGGTAAAGTACAGCACCCTTGTATACCTTGGCCACTCCCATACGGTGACATCTAACTTTAGTCTTAGTGTTAACAAGTTGGTAATGTTATTACTACCGCAAGCATCTTTTGGCAGTATTATGTTATCATTGCAAACTTCCATGTTTTTTGCCATATTATTGGTCTCGTCATAATCGTTATGTGTGATATCACTGGTAAAGACTTTCTCATCTTGCCTTTTCTCAGATAAACTGGCTGTTAAAAATTACATTTGGAAAAAAGAAATACAAAATTATTACTTTTTGCAGAGATATACATGTTGTTGTTTTTTAAATTCATACTAACATGCAACTTTTCAATTACATTCATTAAGACTTACAAATAGAGACCTAAGATATAAATTCACTAAATACTAAAAACTCATAGATTAACTTGCCTTAGAAAATGATGAAAAATGTCTTGAAGACTTGGAGAATCTGGAGCAGGAGGTTTCTACAAGAGTGTGGGCAGATTAGTTAACATCACTATATATTTATTCAATTGCACATAATATACAGCAAATTCTTCATTGTAAAAAAACTCTCATCTACATGAAAAAAAGTGTTTTTCATTCATATTCCATATTTTTTAGTGTCACATCTGTACTATACAAACTACATAAACGTATGAACCATCCAATGATAACTGTTTCAAAAGTAATACTAAATCAAAACAATTTACACTTCAGCATTTATGGTAGTCCAAGTAACATGAAGAAAATGCTAAACCTATGTTATAGATATTACTAACAATTATTTGTTTTATACACAAAATCCTTCATTATAAAAATGTTTTAATACACTATTAAAAATGTACACAATAAAGACCACTAACTGCAAACACTTAGAACTACTTTAGCTACACTTTTCTTAACTATCTAACTCTCTCACTACGGGCTCGGTCCCAGAGACTGACCTTGTAACCATTCAAGGACAATTTATTCATGAAATTTTGCAGATTATCAGTTAACATAACAAGGCTTTCCTTCACAAAAGTTTTAAGATTTTTAAATAAGTAATGCTTTTCTCATGCATATTTTCTTTTCAAACGTTGCCTATCCAACATACAAAGTAATTTTGATTTTAAGATTAAAATACTTTTATGTATCACAAAATTTCAAATTTCACATGCAAAATCTTTATAATCTCCAGATAATTATCACGTTTTTTTAAGAAAAAACTTTATATTTTCACTATTGTACCTCAGTATCGGTTTGGTCGATTTGACCGACTTCATAACACCCATAAATAATTAGGAAATAGATATAAATTATTCTCTTTTCATTCTAGAATGACTACAAATTATAACATGGAAAACACAAATGTTTAGTCTAAACAGCTTAAATCACATAACATCATACATCTATATATAATTATTTTATTGACCTTTCAGCCATGCCTGACTAACATTATTGAAGTTGCAATGACACAGCACGTGCACTCACATTACCGAATCCAAGAATATATAACTGGCCTTTACAAAGTGACCTACCTGTTTTGGCCAAGTTCTAGGGGACCAGTATTTTGTAAAATACAGTCACATTTCAGTTTTAATACATTATATATGTATATAAATTATTACTATTTACAAATAAATTCTTAAATTTCAGTTATTTTTCTTAACATAGAACAGAAAATAAAGAAGTATAGAAAACAATTATCTCTTCTAGTTACAAACTTTCTAGCTTGTCAATATCGGTAATTTCAGTATCTAATTCATAAGAAACTATAGACTTTGTATTTGGACATACAAACATCCAATTTCAACCAATGCTGCATTCAACATACAATGTGACACAAAAATTGATATTTAGGATTTTTTTAAATATTTACTTTTAAATTAAGAAATTAACTAATGCATAATACTAAAATTTGAATTATAATCTACAATTTGATACCAAACTTATTAACATACATTCAAAAAAATAGTAGTTCAGAAAAATTTTGAATGTAAGTTTACAAACATGATGACATGCCCTCTGACCCCTACCTGTAGCAAAACCCATCTAGATAGGGTTAAACATGCTTTCCTTATTTCCATGGCTCAAGGTCGCATGTTTGTTTTATCAAAATTTCTTATTATGTTTCGTATAAATTACTGTGGGTGAACATTTTTACTTAAAAGAGTTGTCAAATTTTCCCTAAAATTCTTCCATACTTCTCTTTTATTAAGAACTTTACCAATCCTATAGAGATAACCAATTACTACACCTCTTTTTACTGCAGAAGAATGATGTAAGTGGAAATACAAACAAAAAAGCTTTAATAGATGGTTTGCTATAACTACCAATAATAATTTCCCCATCCTTATCAATATGAATGATGGTATCTAAAAATGATAAATTTCTACTTGATAAGGCATAAGCAAATGTAAATTTTATGAATGGATGAACTGTACTCACGAACTCATGGAAACTAGTAAGAGACTCCAAATTAGTGTTCCACACTCCAAAGATATTGTCTGTGAAACTGTGCCAGATTGATGGGTCTATAGGTGCTTTTGGTTCAAGTATATACATAAATATTATAGCCAAAATTACTACTACTCTAGTTTCCATAACTATTCCTGTAATTTACATAATTAAAAATTGATAATTCAAAAAGGGGGAAAATTAGGCTTAAAGTGAAAATGCAACTGCCAAAAAAAAGCAAACAAAAAAGCTTAAAGTTTGAGAGATAGTGTTGAAATTATTTCCTCAAGCTACAAATCCTTATTTTGACTCTGCTAAATATTACAGCTTTTAGACATGGAGCCAAAATATGGATTTGTAGCTGGGGGAAATAATGTCAAAACTCTCTCAAACCTTAAGCTTGTTTGTTTGCTTTTTTTTTGGCAATTGCCTTTTCACCTTAAGCCTTTTATCATGTTTCTGTATTGTTGTAAAGATCCCTATTCCCTGTTTTTAAATTACAAAGTCTGTATAATAGCAATACTGTCCTATTCAAAACAATTTAGTTTAATGAAATAAGAAGTGTAGGATACGCTCTCGGGAAACAATGATAACCTTTGGATTGGCTTCATGCCAGTTTGGATGGCTATTGCTCCTGATATCATTGCCATAATGTTATCATTGATAGTGGTACTTTATGTATGATCACTATAAATCATACCACACACTATGCATGTGCTTGTAAAACATATAAAAACTATATTTATACTCTGTAGCTATATGGGGAGTCTGTAAACACTAGATTGGAGGGACCACTGAACTATGTTGGAATGGTGCATGGACTCGATTTTGTAACTACATGAATTGTAAAGCTGTGTGTGTGTGTGTGTGTGTGTGTGTGTGTGTGTGTGTGTGTGTGTGTGTGTGTGTGTGTGTGTGTGTGTGTGTG